GTCACATGGACGTCACACCCTCTGCTTTGTCTTCCTTCCTCTTGTGCCCTGCGGATGAAATTCAAGCCATCAGGCTCTGCGGCGAGGGCCTCGGCCTGTTGAGGGCCTCACCGGCCCTTTAAACAGATTTTACAGCAAGGCCCTCCCCTCTTCTTGGGTTCACCGTCTTATCCCCATCAACAACACTGCCACGCACAAGGTGTGCCAGCCAGCCTGTTGTCTCCTTCCTCTTGTTCTTGTCTTCTTCTTGTAGTGAAGATTCATATTTTGTGTTTTCATTGGTGTATGTAGTATGAAGGAGACACAAAAGAATAGGCTGCACGGGGTCAAAAACACACTACATACATCATCGGATGTCACAATGATGCTGACATTATGTGTAATTAGTAGAGTGCTAACAAAACTTATTATTCTCCTGTGTGTGTGTGTGAGAGAGAGAGAGAATGTGAGAGAGAGTGAGAGAGAGAGAGATTGTGTCTGTGTGTGTGTGTGTGAGAGAGAATGTGAGAGAGAGTGAGAGATAGTGTGTGTGTGTGAGAGAGAGTGTGTGTGTGAGAGAGAGTGTGTGTGTGTGTGAGAGAGAGAGTGTCTGTGTGTGTGTGTGAGAGAGAGAGAGAGAGAGAGTGTGTGTGTGTGTGTGTGTGTGTGTAAGTGAATGGGGGTGATGGTATGAGCATGCCACAGTGCAGGCGTGAAGGCCATGGGACAACTTTGAGAAGTCAATCTTCTCCTTCCACCTTTGCACAGGTTCCAGGGATCAAATTTAGATCATCAGGTTTGGGTGACTGGCACCTTTACTCACTGAATCTCTTCACCAGCCTCTCGAAACAAACACACAAACAAACACAAAACAGAGAAAGTCACAGAGCACTCTGTCTACCAGTCCATCACACAAGGAAACGACTAGAAGCTTCCATTCGCAGCCGAGGCAGCGGGGCCTCACCTGAGTCCGGCCACCCCAGTCTCTTGACCTTGGATTACGGCCTTCAGAAGGGAAGGGCAGTAGATGCTCACTACTTAGGTGCCAGCCTGTGGTAGTCTGCTGGGACAGTCCTGAGTGACAAACGTAGCCTCATTCTAGGAGCGAGGACAGTCTTGGGACACGGGGTGCCAAGCCTGCACTCTTCCAATATCCATTCATGAAACAGCTTGGTGAATGGGGCCAGCAGGCGACATGAATAGAACACAGCACTGCCTTTTACACCCTGGCCGTGTCCACTGTTGCCGTGCCTGCTGGCGGTAGCTGCTGGCGGCACATGGCGGCACACTTGCAGACACCCTGGGGACAGTGCCCCAGAAACTGTCTTCCCAGAAGAGCTCTGCCCTACTTTTGAGAGAGGCTGCGATGATGCTGGGGGCAGAGATTCAGTCCTTCAGAGCAGGGAGAAATCAGAGGGCAGGACGGCCTTCCCAGTGGGTCCGTGTCTCTGCTCGGCACTCATGCGTGCTGTCTGAGGGTGGTGGTTCATTGGGCAGTGCAGTCTGAGGAACCGTGTTAGGGAACATGTCTCAATTGGTAAAGCACCATTAAAGTTTTTTTTTTTCTTTTCTTTTTTTTTTTTTTTTTTTTTTTTTTTGGTTTTTACGAGACAGGGTTTCTCTGTATTGTTTTGGAGGCTATCAGTCCAGCCCGGCCTCGAACTCACAGAGATCCGCCTGCCTCTGCCTCCCGAGTGCTGGGATTAAAGGCGTGCGCCACCACCACCCGGCTAAAGTTGTTTTTTTTTTTCTTAAAAGTTCAAAACTTTGATTCTGCACAGCCTCGGGCCCATTAGGATTATGGGCAGGCGGGACAGTGGCCACTGTGGAGATGTTTCTCAATGACACAGTAGGACTTTCTTTTCTCTTTCCTATGACTTTTCTTTAGAAGGGAAACTGGCTCAGGCCTATAATCTAATACACTTGGAGGCAGAGGCAGAGGATTGCAAGTTCATGACCAGCCTGGGTAACTAAGGGAGAGTCTGTTTCAAATATCCAAACACAAAAAAGGGCTGAAGGTATTCCTCAGTGGGAAAAAAGTGCTTGCCGTACAAGTGTGAGGACCTGAGTTCAAACACCCAGATCCCATGTAAAAACCAGATAGGCAGTGTGGGAATCTGTAGTCCCAGGATTCATGCCACAGTGAAAGGGGAGGCAGAGGAGGGGAATCTCCAGAAACTCGCAGGACACATAGCCTGATACGTTCAAGGGAAGAACAACAAAGGGATCTCATCTCAAATGAGGTCCTTGAAGTGGCACGTATGTGCCTGTGGTCTCGTGCACGCATGCGCACACACACGCATTCACACACACGCATATACATATACACACACACGCATGCACACACACACAGATATTAAGGTTTTTTTTTTTTTAATTAAAAAATGAGCTGGAGCTGGGCGTTGGTGGCTCACGCCTTTAATCCCAGCACTCGGGAGGCAGAGACAGGCGGATCTCTGTGAGTTCAAGGCCAGCCTGGTCTACAGAGCGAGTTCCAGGACAGCCTCCAAAGCTACACAGAGAAACCCTGTCTCAAAAAACCAAAAAAAAACAAAAAACAAAAAAACAACAAAAAAAAAATGGGCCGAGGCTGTAGCTCACAGTAAATGTGAGGCCTGAATTAATCCTTAGTACTACAAAGAAAAATAAGGAAGGACATTGAAAAATGCTGGGGATACTTAAATTTGATCGGATGCAAGAGATTTTGAAGCAAACTCAAAATTTTTTGTTTTACATTTTAGATCCTGTTTTATTTTCATAGTTTCCATGGTCTTTGGGCTTTCTGTTTCTAGAGTAATATCCAGACACTTGTTTGCAGGTGTAAGAGGCCCTACCTTCGCTGGTCCGGCAACCCCTTATGTGTGAGAGCACATCATATTGAAGTGACCAGCCACTGCATGTCCAGCATCTGTTGCTGGGCCGTTGTCCACACAGTCATCATTGTGCTTTTGGTGGTGTAAAGCATGAGATATTTCAGAGTGATAAGAGAATGAATTAGCGCTCCGCATGGCTGGGTCTAAGTGTCATTCTGTTTTACTAGTTGTCGGGAACACGGCCAGCACATTTGCTAGCTGTGAGATTTCTACCTCTGGGAGCAGCTGTCTGGAACATGACACTGGGCAGCGGCAGTGTGTGAGTAGGCTGTGGTTTGTCACTGCGTGTCAGAGAAGCCATCAGGTCTGCGGGTCCTTAGCCTAACCTCACAGACAGTGCGGGCAGGTGAGCCTAACATCAGGTCTGCGGGTCCTTAGCCTAACCTCACAGACAGTGCGGGCAGGTGAGCCTAACATCAGGTCTGCGGGTCCTTAGCCTAACCTCACAGACAGTGCGGGCAGGTGAGCTTGAGCTTCCACAGAGCAGCGCCCAGCCCACCGGCTGTCTGTCCTCTCAGGCTCCAAGTTTCTGGCTACGTCTTGACAGTTTCGCTCCTGGATGCATGGTCTCAACCATAGTCAGAAGTGAGGACAGGACAGCTGGACTCCGTGGAGTTTGTCCTGTCTGCTCACCTGGAGCCCACCTGCCCTGTGTCAGAGGCCTCCAGGAAGGCAGCAGCCACCACCACCTGGAGATTCATTCTTTAACTCTTCCTTGACTGCGTCCAAGTCCTGTGTGTGTGCGTGTGTGTGCATGTGTGTGTGTATGTGTGTGTGTGCATGTGTGTGTGCATGTGTGTGTATGTGTGTGTGCATGTGTGTGTGTGTACATAAGTGTGTGCATTTAGTTGCATCCACATAAATCAACCCCCAAGGGCACGTGTGTGTGCATCTTTACCACACTCACTACACATCACAAGGATACCTGAGGCACGCACAACAGCATTCACAGATCACACTTGTCACATACATCCCCACACATTCCACATCTGACACACAATAAGCAGTTCGACACAGGTCACACAAACAGTACACAGTACTATAAATACATCAGTTTTCACACACCATACACATTTATACGTTATAAATGAAACGCACAACACACCTGTACCACACACAATTTCCACAAGCCCACACCACTCACCAGGCACACACCACTCACCGCACATATCACATGCCACACATAAATACCACATGTAACACAGACAGTCTGCATTCAGATCCCTCCATCCTGTTTCCCTGACTCCAGACTTGACCAGAGCAGAGGTTTCTGACAAAATTCAGACTGAGCTTTGTACAGAGAGAACACAGGGATGACAAGGCCTCCTCTAGCACTGGTCATTGACATGTTTTTACTGAACACATCTTCTGGCGTCCATGGTACAAGCACTGTACAAGGATGGGGTGAGGGGGTCCTGTGAAGGCAGAGGGGCTACCCCTGTTCTCATGAAGCTTAGGGATCTGGACAGGAGGTACAAATAAGAAATGAGCATGTCAGCAAATGCCATGGCACAGCTGACAGACAGGAAATAGAACCCAGGAAGAGTGAAACTGAGAGCTGATGGCCAGAGACCCCGGAGAGAGGCAGAGGGAGAGGCCAGGATGCAGAGTGGACTCTCTGTGCGGGAGGAGGCCAGCTAGAGGACCCTGGAGGTCCTACCTATCATGTGTATCTTCCCCCTGTGAAGATGGTCACAGAAGGGTTTGTGGGGACACCAGAGATTCTGCACCCACAAGCAAGCATGTGCCCACAGAACTCACAGCTGGGGCAAGAGGCCCTGGGCAGGTGGGTGTGAAGGAGGAAGATGGGGCTGGGTTGTGGGGGAGGGGCAGCTCAACTGTCTAAAGGAGGAGGGAAGGCCAGAGTCTCAGGGCCATTTCTCAGCATTACATTATGACATACTTTCTAATGTGGAAGCTTACAGGTGTCTGTCTGTGTGTGTGTGTGTGTGTGTGTGTGTGTGTGTGTGTGTGTGCGCGCGCTTGCACAGAGATTTTGCACAACTTTCCTCAGTAAAACTGGGTGCTTTGTTTTCTCAGTAGCTGTGCCTTCTTGGACAGGACCTGCACAACATTGGGCCCTTCAGCATTCCGTCCTGGGGGAGGGAGGGGCTCGAAAGGCCTAACCCCTCCCCAACGATCTAACGGCAGTTATTGTTCAGTTGGGAGAGGGAGAGAGAGGTTTTCTTCAGTGCTGTAGCCCCCAAGTAAATTGCCCGTGCTTCTGTAAATAACTCCTCACCCACGCTCGCTCCTGTAAGTAACCCTCACTAAACTCTTTGGTTCACTAGAAACAAACAAATCCCTGTGGAAGTAGAGGGGGGGCAATTTGGGGAAAGGGGATCAGAGGGAGAGACAAATGGGGGAGGAGTGATTATAATCAAAATATGTTATATACATGTGTGAAAATCTCATGGCGAAACCTATTACAATGTAGAATTAATATATGCTAACATAAACTTCAAAAAACGAGGTTCGAGGAGTAACTCAGTTGGTTAAGTGTTCGCCTGGAGAGGGTGAGGATCTGATTTTGGTCTCTAGTGCCACATAAGAAGAACCAGGTGCTGTGTCATTCCAGTGGGGCACACTGGGACCTTCCCTGGCACCCTCTGGCCAGCCGGTCCAACCTAATCGGTGAGCTTCAGGCCAGTGAATGGGCCTGTCTCAAAGGAGATGGCTAGTACTTCTTTGGATAGGATCCAACATTGTCCTCTGTCCTCCATACATATACAAATACACACACACACACACACACACACACACACACACACACACACACACACACACCAAGACAAAGAGTTTTTCTAGTTGGGAAATCCTATGTGCTGAATCTCAGGCTGTTGAGCTGCCCTACCCTCCTCTAAAGGCTTCCATGCTGTGGTAGACCATCAGAGCCTGGGGTCCCCCAGGCTTCAGCAGTCCTGTGCTCTTCTTCTCTTCCATCCCCTTAGCACTTTGGAGAAAGTTCTAGCCCATGGTCCTGTGGAAGTCCCCTCCAGCTCGGCATGCTTGGCAGTTTCTCAGATTGAGTTGCGGTTATAGATTTGGGGAGAGGAACGCAGACACGAGCCATCTCCTTATTTCACAGTCGGAGCGGACAGATGACCCAACTGACTTTTTGGTGGTCGTGGCCTCCATCTCTTGGCTCACTGCTGGCAGGTGATTGCTTTTATCGTATCACAGACTGATCAGAGGGAGCAGTAATTCATGCCCACCCTGAAGGGCAGAGAACCCAGGAAGGAAGGTGGTGTATTGTGCTATCCTAGTCATCAGGAAATGTTACATCTCAGCTTTTGACTATGAGGAACTTATCCTAGCTGTCTTCCCTATGGGAAGAGATGTTTTTGTGGGAAGGTGACATTTTGATTGCTAATGCCTTTGGTAGTCTAGGGACAAGGGCTGCCTGCTGCCTAGTCAAGGGAGGCTTCTAACTAAACCATGGGAGGTTTTGATTTTCATAGACCCAAGGGAACTTCCAGTTAGGAAGAGACCAGTTAACTACAATCAGATGCTCTCTCTCCAAGCTCCTTATAGCTTACATGGCCCCGAAGTTTTGTTTATTAATTATTTATTTATTCATTCATTTATATATCTATTTCATTTTTCCAGGGTTTTAAAAAATTAAATGAATTTTTTATTTATTTTACATACCAACAAGTTTCCCCTCCCCCTCTCCTTCCAGCCCCTCCCCTTTTGCATCTAACCCCTCCCCATCCACTTCTCTTCCATCTCCATTCAGAAGGGGGAAGGCTTCCCATGAGGCCCGTGCATTTAAAGTGGTTTGGTCCTGGCTTTCCTGGGGAGTGTTGGTACATTTAGGAGATGGGGCCCATCGGAAGGAAGGCTGTCACCTGGTCATGTCCCTTTAAGGGGGAATGCTGGGACTCTGGGCCCTCCTTTTCTCTGTAAGGGAGACTACCAGCATGGTACACTGTGCCACTGGAGACCCAAAGCCACAGGGCAAAGTGACCATGGCCAAGACTTCCAGAGTGGTCAGCCAAAGTAGAGGGGCTGATCACTGTAGACGTTTGCCGTAGTGATGGAAGCTGAACAAAACACCCCCACTAAAGTTACCCATGAGCCAGAGAGGAGGAGAGCAGACACACTAAGGAGACAGCATCTTAACATTTGCTAAGTGAGGCAGTTCAGCGGACAGTAGCCAGGATGCTGCTGCCCCTTTGGAGGTAGCTGTCCCTCACCAGGGGCTTGCACAAGTGTCATCTGTGGCCTGGTGGTTCTTGCTCCTGCGTGTACAGCCCGTGAATGCTGGGCATAAAGCACCGCACTGGGCGGACAGAAGCACAGGAATTCAGGATCACCCAGTCCCACAGGCCAGAAGTCATAAGTCCCGAAAGACCTCTGGCTTGCGGTAGGGGGTCTTCAGTGTCTCCGCACTGCCCTCTAAACTTGGGCGTAGATATGTTCAAGCTTCCCCTTTTGGAGGACAGGGATCCCATTGAGTTAGGGCCCGGCCAGACGACCCCTTCGTCACTAACCGCACTTGCATTGGCCCTGTCTTGGACTACAGCCATCTTCTGACACATCAGGGTTAGGACTTTAACATTTTGAGAACTGAGGTGGAGGGCACAATCCAGCTTATATGGAATTGGGACATTTGCCTGCTGGTAGGACAACAGAGTCCCCTTAGGTTGGCAACAGTGGATCTCACAGTAGGCAGGGAGAACTTTGTGGATAATAGTTGGTGAGGACCAGACAAAAAGGGCTTGCTTTCATGTCCTCCAGACAGTTTCCAGGCCTCTCTGCCTTCTCCTGGGAAGATACTGGAAAGACTACAGTCTCCAGGGACAAGGTCTGCCACCAGGCAGCTCCTCACCAGAGTCTGGGTCTCTTTCTATCAGACCATCCAAACGTCTACCTGCTCAGGTTCCAAACAATGTTTAATGCCTCTCTTTGAACTAGGGATGAACCGCGGAGGATCACCAGATGCCTGGACAGCATCTCTTGGAAACTAAGACTTGGAAGGACAAAACCAGAAAGCAAAGTAGGTATGTAGTAGAAGAGAAGTAAGCAGGGCCAGAGACCTGGTAAACGTGGTTTTAGAAGGCAGATGGCAATGTACCTACAGGAAAAGAATAGTAAGAGGGTAAGGGGGACGTGTTGGTCAAGAGGGAAGGAGAATCTATATTTTTAGCATGAAAATAATACCTTCTAACTATCAATTGTTTATCTATATATCAATCATCAATCATCCCTCATTCATAGTCTATTATCTTTCTACTACCTACCGATCATCTATCAAGATTAACCTACCTACCTTCTTCTCTTTCCCCTGAACTCTTCCTTGTAAATTAAAGTGTAATAAAATAAGGGAGAAAACTGCAAAACCAAATCCTTGAAGCAGAGGCCCAAACCCAAGTGGGGTAAAGAAGGATCACAAATCTCCAACAGAAAATAAAGATATTTGAACACTTGGGGAAATTGAGGCATTTAACAACCATCTTTTTGAAATGTTAGCAGGAAGTGCATGGAAAATTGAACAATTTTTAAAAACATGAGACAACTCAACCCCTGGAAAAATAAACCAATATGAACCTTGCATGAGAAAAGGGCTCAGCATGTGCAATCTGTGCCTCAGTTTACCAATGCAGACTCTGTGGGAAGTGTGTGCAGGGAGCTGGGGGTATGTGAGAGAACAATTTGCCTACCACAGCAGAAACTACACTGTCTCCTAATCAGAAAGTGTCAAAATCGACTATTGTGTAGATATACAGAAATGAGTACCAGAAAGTGATCTTTTAAAGTAGACAATGACGTCCTCTGTGATGTAGTGAAGGGCTGGGCACCAGGCCCATGAGTTTTAACATAAGCTCCTTAAAGATCTTTGATTTCACTGTGTGGTTGTACTTAGCTAAAATTAGAAGCATAATTTCACAGCCGAAGCGTGAGCCGGGGAAGGCATACCCAGAGCACAGGCTTCCTGGCAGGAGAGAGTATTGACTTTTGTGTGGCGAGCTGGCCTTGGGGTTTTCTGTGCATACTGTCAAGGCTGCAAGGAAGTCTCTGGCTCCTGGAACCATGCCACTCCATCCATCACTGTCCCTCTGAATGGGCCTTTATGACAGGGTGCTTCCCACATTTACACCTCTCCCTACTTGTTCCTGTGTGAGATGACAGCCAGCTCTGCTGTCCCACACAGCGGTCAGGTGAGAGAATCAGCTCCTCTGCTGGTGTCAGCAAAGCCTCCACTTTCCATGAGGACACTTAGCTTCGCCGCGGCTGTTAGAACTCCAGCCCTTGGGAGCAGCGATAGCTTGGCCACTCCTTGGAAACTCCAGCCTTTTTGCTCAGCGCCCCCCCCCCCCATCCTCTCACCTCCAGCAGTTGTCCTGGACTGGCTCTCCAGATCCCTGTGACGGTGTTCTTTGCCATGACATCCCCTGACCTCCTACCAAGATCAGAGACAATGACGCTAGGGCCAGAGAGACTTTCTGTGGATGTTGGGTCCCCACGTGCAGGATACCCAACTTCCCTACCAAGCGTTCTTTGGGAAGTGGGGCTCCTGTAGGCCAGTGACACACAGAGAAGGTGATTTGGTGAGGGAAATAAGAACAAGGAATGAATGTCGCTGCTGTCTGATTGGACTGGCCATGTTGGAGACTCAGGAGAGACCTGAGCAGGGCCCCATGCAGCTGTGACACTCAGTGCTGTGTGGTGGAGCCTATAACCAAGCTACTCCTGTATAACTCTCTGGTGTTGGGAACTTTCTCTTTTCATGGGCACTCCTAGATGGGAGAGCATCTGTGTAATGCAGCCGCGTCTGGAGAGGTCAAGGTGGAAGTGACCACACACCAGAGGGGCCAGCAGCGACTCGAAGGCTCTGAAAGTGGCTCTTTAATACAAGGCCTGGGGTTGTGGGAATGTTTGCTGTAGAATGCTCATGCTAGTAATCTCAGCACTGGAAAAGTAAGCAGTGGGATTACGATTTCACGGACCCCCTTAGCTATTACAGTGAGTTTGAGACCAGTCTGGGTTACATGAGACCATGCTTCAAAAGAAAGTCAAGTCCAGGCAATAAAGGGGCACTGCGGGGCTCGACCATTCGGGCCATTTGTGTCGTCATCACTGACTCGTGGACACAGCTTCAGGCGTCTTGATCGCAGCTGCAGAGGGCCGTGGTCTTGCTCTTGGTTAGAGACGGTCTTGGGAGCCAGGGGCAGGGTTTGCTGTCAGCTCTGGTTTGGGCCCATCGGGTCATTTGTTATACTCGTGAGGCCAACAGTCTTGTTCCTGCATAAGCAAAGGCTCCAGGTTGTGACCTAACAAAGCCATTGATTTATCGTCACTGGTTCAGTGACACCACGATGAGACAGAGTGGGGAGGGGAAGGAGAAGCTGAGCCACACCCCACTTAGCCATCCCTCTGTCCATTGCCTTTTTCCACAAAGCTCCCACAAAGCTAGCACACTCCGAATTATACCGTAATACCGCTTCATTCATGATGATGCCAGTTGATGGGGTGACACAGTAACTGCTCTTATGTCATAGTTGGATGAGATATTTTCCTGAGTCCAGCCACCTGAGACCATAAGTTCTATTTTCTGGAGTAGAGAGTATGTGGGATCACAAGAGCAGGCTAGCCCAGGTGCATATAGTTGGCCATAACTATGCCAGGCTGCTCATCGTCCTCTGGTTTCTCAGAGGCTTCTGCGGATCCCTCCACGCACAGGACAGTGGTGGGGCGCTTCCACACTCTGTGGATTGCTCCTGGAATCTGTTTGCTGCAGTGTGGTACTGGGAAGAGTCGGGGTGGCCAGCAGCAGTGTCTGCCCTCTGCATGTCACGGCACATGTCTCATCTCACAAGGCACTGAAGCCAGGTGCTTCCTCTGCCTTGGAAAGAGCAGAGTCCTTCCCTCTCAGGTGCTGCCTTTTCCTGTGCTTCTGACAAGGTGGGCTGGGAAGACGGATGATCTGGTATCATTAGGTGTGTGCTTATTTCTTCAGGTAGTGAGCCACGGGGTGAAACCTGGACAGGCAGGCTCCAGATAGCCAGAGATGGGTCTGCACCGACTCCTCTGATGGGTTGATGATCAATCATTCATTCACCCATTCATTCATTCATAATTGCTTCTTGAATGTCTAATAAATGTCAGGAAAAACAAATGACTACGGAAATCTAGTCCTGGCCCCACGGAGCGTAACATCTCAGGTAGAAAGCTGGTTCAACAAGCAGTTTTGGGTTCACTATCAAACCCCCTCCCTCCTTTCTTCCTCTCTGACTCTCTGTCTCTGTCTCTTTTCTTTTTGACACAGTTTCTTGTAGCAGGCTGAGCTAGCCTTGAACTTGCTGGGTATTCAAGAATGAGTTTGAGCCTCTGATCCTCCTGCCTCTACTTCCCAAGTCCTGAGATTACAGATGTACACCACCATGCCTGGTTTATGTGCTTCTGGGGCTCTAACCCAGGGCCTCATGCATGCTAAGCAGCTTACTACCAACTGAGTCCCATCCCCAGGCCCCCGGCCCTCCCCAGTTTTTAGTGTGTGTGTGTGTGTGTGTGTGTGTGTGTAAATGCCTGTAGAGGCCAGAGATCAGTGTCCAGTACCTTCCTCAATCTCTTACCTTTCTTTCACCCCTCCTCCCTCCCCCTCCCTTCCTCCCTCCCTCTCTTCCTCCCCCTCCCCCTTCCCTCCCTCCTCCCTTCCTACCTCCCTTCCTCCCTCCCCCACTTTCCTCCCTCACTTCCTCTCTCATCCCTCCCTCCCTCTCTCCTTCCCTTTTTTTGAGGTCTTTCACCAAAGTCGAAGTTAATAGAGTGTTTAGATTAGCTGGCCAGTGATTCCCAGGGATCTTCCTGTCTCTACTTGTCCTCGCACTGGGGTTATAGACGTGCACTGCCATATTGCAGTTTCCCTGGAATGCCCAGCTTACCTCTTTTATGTTCACAGCCCAAAGAGTAGTCTTGAGAGAGAAAGCTGCTGTGACCCTTGTACACACCAGAGCTGAGCCTGCTACACCAGGCCATGGGCTGGAGACTCCAGAAGGGTTGGCCAGCTGTGGAGCTGGGGCCATGTATCTGGGCCTGCTCCCTCCTCTGCTCTCCAGTCTCCAGGATGCTTGCAGGGGAAGCCTTTGTTGACACAGGCCCCGGAGGTCACAGGTTAGAGCCTCATAAAAAGAGTTCAGACAGGAGCCTTGCCCAGGGAGATGGAGGTTACTGTCTTCCCAAAACAGCAGGGCTCTGGGCAAATTCATTCTCTTCTTCTCTCATTAGACCCAGTGAGGTGGGCAGTGAAGCAATGGGAGAATTCCCAGCAGGAATTCAGTGTAGGCACCATGTTTTAGTGGAAGCCAAGTGGTCAGCTTGGAGCAACCGGAGAGGCTGTGGAGGCAGGCTGTAAGTTTGCAGCCAGGCAGGTGACCGTGCCCACACACATGGCTGAGGGCATGGGTGAGTCTGGCTTCACTAAGAAAAATACCATTTTTCCTGGGGTTGTGATGCCAAGCACCCTGCCTAGGTTTGCATGAGTTGGGATTCTGAGCTATCAAGCACGTGGAGCCAGCGCGTCGCTGCTGTGGGATATTTGATTGGACTGTGAAACCCTGAGACTGGGTTAATAAAAATCAGCCTTGGATCAGGGGGCGGAGCCAGCAGCTACCTGATAGGAATTAGCCACAGAGAGTACAGAGAAACCCGGAAGACAGACAGAGAGATGCACAGGAAGGAGTAGGGCGGGACTTGGGTTTTGAGTCTTTTTGGTTTGGGATGGCTCGAGAGATGTTCTCTTGGTGGGTCTCTAGAGCAAAAAGGAAGGTCAGCTGGTTGCTTCTCGGTCCCGCTGAGCTGGCAGGTTTTCATCCTAAATCAGACTCCCAACTCAGGTAAATGGAACTACAGAGACTTAGTTAAAAACTACATTTTAACTAAGTACTGCCAGACTGAGATTTGAGTGGTGGGGTCCTGAGTGCAGGGGCCAGGGGCCAGGGGCACGGGGGGGCGCCCACAGATGGTAGTTAAAATACCAGTAGATTCAGGTGCAGCTGATAAG